CGAACAAAAGTAAGAGAAATTTAGGATAAGAATACGAACATGTTCTTGCATGAGGCCCATTGTCCTGTTGGACCCGGTTTGGTCCAATCCTGAGTCTGTAATGGTGTCATTATGTCTTAACACATAAAACACTTTAACTGAAATGTGGTGGACTTTCCTTTTCCCATGAATACAAGTTGTCAGGACTTTAAATGCTTCTATCTCGATATCTTCTGCTTCAGACTTAATTCACTTTAAAAAAAATTTTTTTTTGCTTTTCTTCCCCAAAACGTTATTTCATTTGTCTTTTTTTTTTTTGGATATAGGATGTCATGAATTGTAAACTTTAACCCACTCAACATTCATGTCACCAGTGTGAAATTGCCCAAATCAAAATTAATAYAATAAACATGCAGAGTAAGCCATCTTACCTTTATCTAGCTTATTATAGATGTGCCTGGGAAGTTCTGCTGAGGATTCTACATTAGGAGGATAGACATATAAAGCTCTGCTGTGGGGTCCGTTACTGTCTCTGAGGTCCACAGCTTCTTTGCAAACATTTAAAATGTTCCTTCTGAAGTCCTGCACTTCTGAGTCCTTCACCAAATCAAACTCACAAATGGGCATTCCGATAGCAAAACCTATAAAAGTGAACAACAAGGTAAACAAGGTATTCTAAAAGCTTCACAGGTGCATTTTAATAAATAATAGACTATATTGTTACTTTTCACTGCGATAAGGGGAGCAGCTGCTACATTACTGTGGAAGGCAGCAATAAGCAGGCTCAGGAGCATACCTATCTCTCTGTTGAGGATTTTCTCCTCTCTGTTGCCCACTGGCTCAATAACTTTCAGGAAGGCCTGAAACAGTCTGAGATCGCACAGCCTCCTAGTCTCGTCGTAGAACTCTTCCCGCTCTGCCTCCTGGGTGACGCTGACAAAGATGTATGAGCTCTCCTCCTGCAGCAGATGGTAAAGAGGGTACTTCCTGGCTTCTTTGAAAAGATCGTGCTTGACCGTGATGAGCGTGGCCTCTCGGAGGCACTCCAACGTGAGAATCATGCCATTTGGCAGCAGGCAGTCCACTAGGATGCTGGGGGGCATCAAGTGCATCCCCCATAGCTCTCCTGAGGAGGGTCTGGGAGGCATGGTTGTGCCAGCAAATCTAGCCTGGTAATTAGCAGAGCAACGTCAGCCAACTGTGAGAAAGAAGGAAGCAAAATTACACAACTATTTCTGTCTCGTGTGGAATGTGCACATATTTAACATTTGTCACAAAATGCTTGGGAATAAGCTCGTTAAAAAGAACAGAAAGAAGCACAGCTTTGGAGATTTTAAAGCAAATTGTAACCCTAATAGAGATGAGGTTAATCTGGAAAAGGGTTTTCTGATTTTATTATCCAACATTTAAAACCAAGACTCAGGTTGAGGCATCATTAAAGCACAGAACTTGGACAAAAACACCTTTTTCTTTTCTACTCTATGATCCTGGGATTCACTGCAGCAAGAACTGAAACTGTCCAGTTTGAKCCCACTGGGACATTTTTAAACACATTTTAAAGAAAATGGAAAAATAATCATTTCAAGCTTGTTTTTAGATTAAGTTTGTTTAAATTTGCTCTTATTTAAAAGTCAACATCACATGTTATATAACTGATTGTGTTACAGGCCTCTCTTGTAAATGAGACTGCCTGTCTCAATGACATTACCTGTCTAAATAAAATACAAAATCAATTTATTATTATGGTCCTCACCTGAGTGCAGGTGATTTATTAGAGGCAAACTCATGATTCACCTGTTCAGTCTGAAGTCTAGTAATTCATTTTTAAATTTAGTACATTTTGTGTTGAATTTATACCTTCAGATTAACTTTTACTTGAATATAATTAACTGCATTTCATTTAATCCCTTATTTAACTCAGCCCTAAATGCTTTACTTATTTCTAAAGGAAACAAACTTAATTTTTATTGTCTTTATTTTTGGTTATCTTTAGATTTTAGATTTCACGGTCTTCTATTTTTTTTATAAATGTTATTTTCAGAGAGTGCAGTGTGATGTGAAACGGCTGCAGCCTGTTCAGATTAAAATCTAAACTGGAAAGTTTTTTCACACACAGCTTTAAAGTTCGAGATAAAGGAACATGTTTATCTGCAGACTTTRTATGAAATATCAGCGTGTGGAGAAGTAAGAAGATTGTGAACGATATAAAACATAATTCAGACTTTCATTTTCTACCATCAAGGAGTCTCAAGATGTCAACTGGTAAATTAAACCTGTACAAACATTCTTTCATGTTTTCTGCTTTGAGATAAAAAAAAACTAAGTATTTAGTTCATTGTTTTTTTCTTATTTAAGTAACTTAACAAGTTTTCCTCCCTTCTTTTATTTGTGCTTATTGTTGTAACTGTGCAATGCTGCAGTTTGTGACCTAAAGTTTATTTTATCTTAAATATACACTTTTCCTGGAAGCACTTTAAGTTACTCTCCAATTTAAATGGAGAGTAACTTACAGTGCTTCTTTAAAAAACTAAGATAATTTCCTCCAGTTTAACGGGACTGAATTATGATTGAGTGAACTAACTCATGTCTTTGAATCGTATGAACTACAGTAAAGTTTCCTACATAGAGACTGGGTAAACATAAAGTCCAGTGAGTGAGCTGTGATGATCTGATAAGTTTTTCCAGTGAAATCACTTCTGAAAACATCATGTAAACAACCTGGTTAACTCACAAAACTCAAACCACACACTGGTTTAAAGTGATCAGAATAGAAAAAGTAAAGCAGGGCTGAACTTACTTGAGTTAATCAGCTGTTACATTTATTTATTTACAAGTTACTTAATTTAGGTGTTGTTTCTCAGCAAGCCAAAGGTCCATTTATGCTAGCTAAACAATGTCATTTGCATTATTAATGTCGAGCTAATTCCACTCTGACATTATATTAACGAAAACAAAGCAACGTGTTGTGTGTGTAACCATGTATGTGTTTTAATTAGCAACTAAAAACAAAATAAAGAAATAGGAGACACTACCTGAGTTAGATAGCTAACGCCAACCGGTTAGCCGCGGAGCTAGCACCGACATTAGCCGCGGCTAGCCGAGTTAATCCCATCCGTGCCCCGCTCAGGAACTCTCAAGCAGCCGCGTTAGCTTTATGGTAAAGTCCATGTACTTGACCACTGTGGGGCACTGGGCAGAAGAGATACCCTTAGCTCCCGGCGATGTTGTCAATGTGCAGCAGCGGTTTGAGTTTGAAATGCTTCATGTTGTTCTTCATTGTGCTGGCTGGGAAGTGTTTGTTAGCGCGACGCTAGTCTGAGAGCAGCTAGCAGCTAGCAGCTAGCAGGCTCGTGGTGTCGGACCGCCCTCTGAGTTCAGCTGGAGGAGCTTCGTCATGACAGGAGGCTGAGGAAACAGGAAAAACTGAGGAGTTTTCAATTAAATTTTATTTATGTCTTAAAGTGTTTTTAATCCTGCCACTTGAGAAACACTTAAAAAAAACTGTTAAAGTTCTGTATAAATGCACAACATAAATTAAAATTCTCTTCAGTTTCAGGGGCGGCACTAGGAGGTGGTGGGCCAATGGCCACCTATAGATGTGGATAAATTTCTAATCCTACACCAGGGGTGCCCAAACATTTTCCCTGATAGGGCCAAAATTAAAATCAATCTGAGGTCTGCGGGCCAAATGCAATAATATAAGAAATGCTTAATACTTTACTAAGTAAAGTCGTTTTATTTTTTTATGAATAACCTAGCAGCCAGTGTGCTTGTCCACATTCTTTAGTTTATTTTTTTCAGCCCGTGGACATGGAGAAAATTCAATCAAAAGGGAAAAAAATTGTATAGGTCTTCTGGACGGGTTCTTCTCTAATGAAACGTTTCGTCTCTCCTCCAAGAGACTTCTTCAGTCTGAGAGTTTCAGGCAAAAGCCTGAAGAGTATCAGTCACATGGAGGCAGGACTCAAAAGCCTGAATTTTGCCTGAAACTCTCAGACTGAAGAAGTCTCTTGGAGGAGAGACGAAACGTTTCATTAGAGAAGAACCCGTCCAGAAGACCTATACAATTTTTTTCCCTTTTTGACTATATTTG